AGTTAAAGCACATTGTGTTAGTTTCATTCCAAATCCATTGTGGTGTATAGAACCAAAGATGTTAGAATTGTGTCGATGTCCCAATATTTCTGGACCTGACTGTATCTGGAAGCTCAAGGGCCAGGCATAAGTGAGATGGCTGTCCTGTCCTGTCCCAAAAATAGGAAAATACAATATTCTCTAACTTTCTGGAATGAAAAGATCCTTCCTTTCCAGATCAGCCAGAAAAAACTAAATTTGAGTGGCTGTCCCTATGTGCGCATCTTCATCTGGATGAACAAGAAGCATGATCCTTACTCCCTTCTGACTAAATAAATTGCTACTCTCTTCTTCAACAGGACAGTTAAACTACCTCGGCTCTAGCCACCAACTTTGGCACATTCTTGCGGTGGTGATGTTGTATTGGTGGCACCAATCTACCATGTACATCATGCAGTACAGACACAGCAAACCTTGCCTAGACTAGAATAGCGCGTCAAGGTAAGGCACTCTCGATACCAGAGGAGCTGAAGATCGCCTAGCCTGTTCAGGAGTGGGGAATCTCTTTTTTCCCCACTGTGGGAATACCATGTTCAAAGACCAGTGGATTTGCTTATTGGAGAGGAACTGCTCTATTCCCAGCCTGGAATTTTCCTTCACAGTAAATCCCAGATCTTTCAGATTACTTGTTGTCAGTACATTTCTCCTGTTGTCCTGCAATGCTTTTCTGCTCATTATTCCAAGTCAGTATTACCTGCGCTGACTGGCAATCTGTCTCCTTAATTTCAGATTGGTCCCCCCCCCCCGAAATTGTGAACAGGAGAGCCAGTGTAATAGTTAGCATGTCAGAGTGGGGCTGAAGATACCCAGGTTCAGCTCCCCACATGATCATGGAGTTCGCTAAGACAGTTTAGGCCATTCACTCTCGATGCCTTTTCCTCTTGCAGGTCTTCTGTAAGTTTTTATTCATTAGATTTATATCCAGTCCAATTTATATTCAGGAGCCCAAGGCAGTGTATATAGTGTTCCCTTCTATTTTTCCCCACAGCCTCCCCCTGGGAGATTGGTTGGCTGAGCCAGTGAAGTAACTAAAAGCTTCTTGGTCTAAGGATAGGGTCGAACCTGCATCCCTCGAGCCTTATAATTCCTGCCAGGCCAGCTGTTCTAACATGACATTCTTCTAGCAGCTGAAGACTTAAAATTGATTCCATAAATTGCACCCTAAGCTTGTTGATTTGCAGTTGTTGGAAGTCAGATGAACACTGCAGAAGAAAAAGTTACAAACCATGTATTGATATGCCATTTTTGTAAACATGAAGGAGGATAATGGGGGAATATTGCATCTCTTTAAGAGACAGCCATCTTTTTTTTTTTTCTAAACCTGGTGTTGGCAACCTCCCCAGTACTTGTTGATTTAGGAAGGCTCCCTTAGCTGAAGCAGCTCACTAGGTTCTGTTTGCAATAATTTAAAATGAGTTTTGTTGTTTCCAGAATTTCATCATTGTACTGAAGTTCTGACATTGAATGTCTGCATTTCGTGCTGATTTCAGGAGCGACAGCCACAGCAGCAGTTCACTTTGAATCCTCTTTCTTTTTGGAATAGTATTTTAATAGGCATTCCTGAGATCACTGATCTCTATCAGCTGAATAACTATTTCTTCACTTAGGACAGTGAAAGAGCTGCAGATAATTGGGTAAAATAAGTTACTTTTCTTTGAACAACTAATATATAAATTATAATAAGACTTGTATGTGGAGACTACGCTATGATCAAGAAAAGTTCTCTAAAATGCATGCATATGAAGTTCTTGTGAAAAATTTGCATGCTGGGATCTCACTTGAAAATCCATGTTGTCAACTGTACCTTTTTAATGTGCTCTGTGTCTTTGCACTGATGTTTCATTTGAAAAACTTCAAATATAATACAAATTTTTATTGGATTTCCTTTTCCTTTCAATAAAAGAGAGTCTGCCATAGATAAATTTATCTTCAAACAAAGAGTTGAACCTGTCAGTCAATTTAGAATTTAAATTGTTTGTCTCTGATCTTGGGAGCTTGCAGTCAATGAGTCAAACGTGACGAGGGCCAAAGGTTTTAGACTTACTCCAAATTACTGCAAGTAACACTCTCCATAAACTTGACATGCTTGCTGCTACTTGGACAAGTGGAATTGTTCTGAGCCATTTTTCAGGATAGTACTTGCTTCGTGCCAAACAAAATACCTGCTTGTGCCTTGACAGCACTTCCCTGCTGCCTTGGAAATTTTGAAGAAAGAGGTAAATTCAGTTAATCCAGAAAATATTAATACCTGGCTTGCAGCATGGCCATCTCATGTTTTGAGATTCCAGCAGCCACGTCTTCACAATCTGGTGCTGAAAGGGGATTTACAGAGAAGAAATGAGGAGGTAAGAGGTATTTATGAGTTCTCTTAGGTTGAGTTCCAGTCTGTTGGTTGCAATGGGGGGAGGGATGGAAAGAGTAACATTAACGTGCAACAGAATGGTTACTATAGCATATTAAAAATCTGCTTAAAAAGCCCCTTAAGTAATACAGTGCTTCTCTCCCTGCTTGCAACTTCCCTCTCTTATTTCCTAATAATACTGTCTGATCTTGCCATGGGGAGCTTCAAAAAACATGTAATTCTAGTTTTAATATGACTTATGTTAAGTGTTTGGGGAAACTGCTTTTATGTGTTCTTACAAGGTCCTTTTCAGCAGTTCCTTCAATTTTGAAAATAGTGTCATAATGCACATTAACTTTCAGGATACAGTCCATAAAACTAAAACAATGGGAAAAGTCTTATTTTTTCAATCTGAAGCAGTACCAGATTTTGGCTAGTTCACACATACCCTCAGCCTTTAGGACATGAGTGGGAAAGTTGTGTATTGTAGAACCTCCCAATCCTGGACTTAAGCTGCCAGTGAAGCCTCTTTTGAGCCTAATTAACTACTGGTAATTTTCCTCAAGATGTTATAATTGGAGAGGGTAAAATTAATAGTCTTCCCACATATTACAATTCTATCTCTATGAAGGTATTATTTGGTGCATTTTTTTAAAAAAACTTCATTGCTGGACAGGGATGGGACTGAGGAGAGGGTACAGTTAGAAAGGAGAGGAAATAAGGGGGAAATGGGCAGGTCTGAAAATGAGATGACTCACCACTGAAAGATTGTAGAGTGTATAGTCCTTGGAAGGCCTCAGGTCTATCTGTGCATGGAATCTATTAATGCAGTTGGGTTTGTCTAGGCATTTACAGTATGTACCTGGGTCTTCATTCAAGAGAAAATATCTGTAAATAGTGAAGGAAGATGCAAAATTTCCTGGGTTTGGCTTTGCTTGCCTGGCTTAAATGATCTGTGTGCCCAGGCTGTTATAAACCAAATAGAAACGTGGACAGAATGCAAACTATACATTGCCCAATAAGAAGGCAGAATCAGAGTTCCTTACTGACCAGTGTAAAATGTCCTGTAAACAAATTCATTTTGTCTTGTGAGAGATCAAACTTTGCCTTTGATTTCCAGGCTTATTTAAAAACTCGAATTGGAGCCTTGAAGTGTATTTTTGCCATATAACTTATACTATTAAGTTATACTGTTGTCATTAACATTGAAAAACAATGGAATTAATGGTTTTATTCTGAATGCTAATAGCGTCTCATGGCCCATATTACCTCTTCCTAACATACCCTACATGTGATAATATAACAAGCTGAATATATGTGTCCGATATGCAATAAGGAGAGAAAGAACAAACCCTACAACTAATGCCAGGATGAAAATGAACCCCCTTAAAAGTAAATTTGGCTATCCAGTTACTCTAGCACTCTGTTTTACACACTTGAAAACAGTTGCTTAGTTCCTTCAGTTAAGTGCACATTTTGTTGCATAAATGTGCCATATTGAACCACACAGAGAATGTTGTAGAATTAAGCCTGTCCTTTTCTATGGCTTTTTAAAAAATGGAAAACCAAGTAGGGATTCTTGGGCAAAAAAATGACTGTTTCAGAAAAAGCAAATCCTAGAGATAGTTAAAGGGCTTTCCAGAGGCCCCTTCAAGATGTCTTATAGCAGTAGGTTCTTCAAATGCCTTTTTTTCATTTAATAGATTTAAGAATCTCAACTGACATTTAATTTACTGAAATTAAAAGTGGAAAATCTTACCAGAGGTATATTGCTAGAAACAAAATTTTAAGTACTGAAAGAAATAAGAATTTCTCTATAAAATATGCGTCTCCCTCTCACTTCAATTTTTTGTAAGTTCAGTTGAAATAGGATGTTTTAAAGAATTGATGGAAATGGAAGCAGATATCTTTTTCTGCATAGATTGACTGAATTCCAGTGATAGCTCTTGCTCTGTGTTGTGCTGCTCTAACTTGACTGTTTTGGACACTTTCAGGAAATTAAATGCAACAAACAGTAATATCAGTTCTCCACCTCTGAAGTCAGTAGCTGCCCTAAGGACTATTGGCAAAGTTAACATGTGCCAAGATCTGCTATATGAGCTGCAAGCATGGCTATAGAGAAGTCATCAGATACCTTTGGAAGAGACAAGTACAGCTTATGGTTTATCATGAATGCAACCAACTGTGCCAACAGATTCCTCCCCATGCCTTCCACTTATTTAATGCTCATTGTGTTATTTGCCTGAAACTGAAAGCTACAACTTTTTTCAGATTTATTCCTCTAGCCTGTGACAATCATTACAGCAATCTGTAGGATCTTTAAACTCTACATCCACAGCTAATTACAGGTGATAGATATCATGGTATCACAGCTTTTGTTTTACTTCATCTGTACATTTTCAGCTATGCAGGAAAGTCCTAAAATGGTTTGGACTCAAGTATAAATGCAATTTTACCAGGTTGCACTGTATATGTTATGTAAATAATGCTTCAATAAATGGTTTGCCAAAACGTATGATTTGGTGTGCTCTACAGGAGCAAGCGTTGGGCAAGGAGGCCTGAAAAACCCAGCATGGGAAAAGGTAGGGATGGCAGCTTTGAGATACCCAGGGTCCTGTCATTACTTTGCACGATCAAAAGCACGTTAAAGAAATTCCGAAGTATTCTTGCGAGGTACTAGCAATCCCAAGAGGACAGTGTGAGAGGAGACAATGAACAGCTCTACATTCCCTTATTCCTCATTAAACGTGAGGTTTTAAGACATGTATTGGAATGTGAGGCTTTCAGTAGATAGTTATATTGTAGATCAAACTAGCTTGAAACACCTAGCCATACCGTTGAAGAAAAGCCAAAACTCTGTTCAGAATGTTCTCACTGCAGAACATAGCCTTTATACGTTGTGGCTTTGCCTCCCATATCATGTTGAAAGATGAATCGTTGAAGAGTGTGGCAGAGTTCACACGACTCCTTAAGCCCAAACATGCCACATTATGGCTTAATGTGACAATAACTTAGTGGTGGCTAATCTACATTGTGAAACATTTGGCAGAAACCTAGGATTGCGTCAGTGTTCCTTAGGGTGCAGCTTATTTTAACCAATTACTGAGAAACTCTCGAATCCTTGGGGTTCTCTGAGCTTGGTTGTTTTCTTGCAAACATTTTGATACCCGGCTAGGTAACATCTTCAGTGCTATCCCAAGGACTCCACAGTTCAACCCTGAGCTACACATTCTATTGGTACTGAGAAACTACTCAGTTCCTTTGTAGAATTTCTATGTTGCCCCGATCAAACACAGTCTGAAAATACAGAGGCCCAATTCTAAAAATAAATTTCATAAGACTTTCAAGCATCATGAAACATGTACTTCTCAGTATTCCATGAGAAATGATCTTATGAATAGTATAACATTTACAGATATGGATGCAATTTGGCCCAAACTCATTAGAACTACCAAAATAATTATTGTTCTAAGAAATGGGGTAGGGAGGTGAGAAATGCTCCTTTGGGCATCCTTGAATTCATAAGTCAATTAAGAGTTTCACTACCAAAAATGCCAAAAAGTTTGACTAGGAATGGGGGGGAGGGGGCAATTTCAGTTCATTTGTAGCCAACCACCGCCCAGAGATTGGGCCACCAAAATTTAACAGAAAAATACATTTCCATAGTGTTATTTCACAGTGTTTACATGTGGCATAGGTTGTAGGAATGGAATGGAAAGCTTCCAGCATCTACCCAGAACCCTCACAAAAGCTCCAAAATGAGCTGAAAAAATTCAACTACAAAGAGCTCAAGAGGCCAGGCTGAGTTGTGGCTCCTGACCTTTCCACATTTGCCCACCTCTGATTTAAAACGTGTGTTCCAATTGTTTTTGGGTTTTTTTCAAAAGCAAGAAGAAGAAACTCTCTTAAAATGGCCAGACATTGTTGAAATTTGGCTCCATTTCACACATCTCAGTAAACATGCTATCTCTGAAAAAGGTACAATAAGACTTTATTATAACAACTGGCATTGGATGGAACAAGATTAAGTTAAAGGAAATGTAAATGAGATCTTATACACAGGAAAATCTTCATACTGGAATGACAAGTCTTACTTGTAACACCCCAGCTCCATTGCAAATTCACACAGTGGTTGGTGTTACAGAAACATGGTATCTGATTTATTAACAACTGAAAGTTGTTTTATGTACATCATTTTTGCACAAAAAGGTCTGTATTAGTGGTTACCCATACACATACATGCACACATACACACGCACAACACTTTAGAAATTTCAAGTCTAACAAGAAATGGAAGTGTAATTTTGAAAAGTGCACTTGACGCTGTTCGCCAGCAATTAGAATGCAACATTATTGTTTTATTCTTAAGTGATGTTCTTATCCCAGAAACTAATCTTGGCAATGGATTACTATATTCTTTTCAAAGAAGCGTTCTAAAAAAATAACCAGGCAGACATTGTTTTGCATTTTCTTGTTACTCTTTTAGCAGCTTTTGGCTCCCCATTTGTTTTTCCAATGCCATGACAATGATTGTGACTGCAATGCTATATTTTAAATCACAGACTCCAAGAGATTATGTGATGTGTGCGTGTGTATGCTTTATATACATCTCTCTATAAAAATACACTATCATATAAAAAAATATTCCGATAAACTCTAATTGCTATTCTCACAGTAGTAGCTATCTCCTTTTATTCTCACAGTAGATTTTTCTTATTGTTAGGAGAAAATGGAGGACTTCTGGACAGCCCTACCAGAAGAAGGGTGCTTGCTACTGAATTTCATTGTTGCAGGATCATCTTTGAAGAGTACATCTGGGCAGAATACAGCAAGGAAGTAGCCCCAAATTGATATTTGAATCTACAGGTTTTGTGGCAGGAGATTCAATCTCAATTAGGAAGCTTGAAAATGGTACCTTCTGAACACATTTAGGTAACAAATGCAGTTATCATAAGGGGGTAAATGATATTTCCCCAGGAGCACCTTGATTTCTATCTTTGACATCACAGATAGAAATTATGTTTTCAAATTAAACAGTACCATAATTTTACCAGTAAATTATCATGTCAAAAGTTATATAGCCTCCAAGATGAAGTACACAGCTGATTAGTAAAGGTAGGCTCAGATTCCCTTATACAGTAACGAGAAAGTCTAATCATTTCATGAAAATGAAAAACTGGATAAGCATCTCCAGTTTTGAATCAACACCTCTCAATCTTCTTACTATTACAGGCGAGACCAAAACAGAGTGAACTTCAGATATATGGATTAATACATCCATCAAACAAGGAAGGATGTCCCATCCCCCCAAAGAAAATAAACATCTTTCTTGGTGAAGCACAGAACTGAAATGAATTATTAAACTTACTTTCCACAGCTCTTGGCAAAGCAATTAAGTAGAAATCAACTTTGTGGGAACTGCCAATAGCTCACCCAGTTCAGCCACCAAAGACACAAAAAAGTCAGTGTACATTTCTCATTTACAATAATCTAGGAAATTAAATTCTTTAAAAAGTCTGACCGATCCAAGGTGCGGAAAGGAAGATTAAAGATCTTATTAAAAAGCAAAAAATGATGTGATGCTATGAATGGCCACGAACTACAAAATGTTATTCTCAGCCTCAATCCTGCAGCACTCTGCACGCCTTTCATCTCATCTGTTCAGTCATATCTACCAATTACATAGCTGAAGGTGTACCCCAAGATTCTCCAATGAAAAATCTGTCTTAGCAACCAGAGATGGCCAAGACAACCTTACACATTTTCTAACACACAGCAGTTTTGGGGAGAGTTATCTGAGAAATAGAGCCAGTTTGGTGTAGTGGTTAAGGCATCAGACTAAAAACCAGGAGACCAGGAGTTCTAGTCCCGCCTAGGCACAAAGCCAGCTGGGTGATCTTGGGCCAGTCCCTTTCTCTCAGCCCTAGGAAGCAGGCAATGGCAAACCACTTCTGAAAAACCTTGCCAAGAAAACTGCAGGGACTCGTCCAGGCAGTCTCCGAGAATGGAACACAATTGAACAGATTAAAAAAAAAATCTGAGAAATAAAAAAAACATGCAAATCATGAAGTTGTGCTATTTCAGCCCTTCCCAACACTAAATAGATTGATGCCACTTTTGGTTATTAAGTACAGTAATTCATACACCCATACAGTGTAAGTTCACATGTCCATACAGATGTACAGAATAAAACTATCAATCAGTAACTAGGTACAAAGGATATCCTTCTGGCAAATGGAAGCCACAATTTAGGATCCTGAAGGCAGAAAATGGAGTGACCTGATTATTCTAAATGTTGTTTCTCAGGACATATCATCATCTACGTAACTGCTTACTGGAAACAACTTACAGCAATCTGATTTCATCAGGATTTTCTGATGAAAAGGGTTTTGATTGAGATATAAAAAAATCAATTGTCAGATGTAATCCGACAGATGAGGCAGAAAATACATTATCAAACTAATTAGGTATATTGGCTGTGATTTACTTTTTGTCCCATTAATTTTAGTAAGTGGCAGCATGATAACTTTGGGGTGAGGAATCAAAACTACTGCATTCCTTCTGTACCACCTGAAGCAGGTACATCTTTTCAAATAAAAAGAGGTTATCACATGGAGACCATAATTAAAATCAGCTCTCCATTCACTCTGGGACTCCAACCCACACTGAGATGTTTCCTACATAGAAAGTCTTCCAATATGAAAGCCAAATACAGTACATTTAATTAGCAGACCCTTAATGACTTCATTCATTTTGGATAGCTTAATACCCTTCTCGCTAGGAAATCTGACATGGTTGAAGTGGCCTTTGGAAAAAGTTATTCTACAACACTTGTATTATGTCTGAGGCTTTGGCATAAGAATAAAGGAGCAGGCATTCTGAGGCACATGCACAGAACTTTACAAAATATTTAGGGTAACGAGATAGACATCTAAATGTTTTAGGCTTTGGGTTTCATATCCCACTAAGAGATGGACTGCACATCTAGAAGCACATTTAACAATCACTTGAAATTATATCTTTTAAGAATGACTAAAAACACCACATAAACTTTTTTTTTTCAAAAACCAGCTTTGAAGTATGTTTTAAGGGTGTTGGTCCTTTATCTTTTCAAATTTACTATGTTGGCAAATTATCCAAAAGTTATTCTATTTTCTTCTTCTGTCTTAATACAGCAGCTGGATGGCAAAAACCAACACTTGATATTTTTTAGGGAAATTCATTCAATGCCCCCCCCCATTGGAATTCTCATTTTTTTTCAAGATGATATTCAAACTATGTAAATGGTACCTGGGCACATCCATAATTAAGGTTATGTAGCTTCTACAGTTCAAATTAACATAAATGTGAATGTGTATGCAAGGATCCAGAGATGTCAAGCCTATATTCGCTTAATGACAGAAACGTCTTCTGAAACTTCTCACTTTTAAGAATGGTTTGCTGTATATGTCATGGGAGCAAGCATCAGTTTCTGCTGTACATTTAGTATTTCTCATTCACACACACACGTGTACACCAAAAACACACTGCCATGTTCTCTGGATCCTGGCCATTCTTTGTGACAAAATTGTTTACTATGTCCTTTTCACAGACACCCATTTTCACAAAACCATTTAACTGAAAGTATAGGAACCAATGCTCCTACAGGACATCAAATTGCTATTTTGGACAAACATACCTGATCTAAAATGATCAACAGCCAATGAAGACATTAGGAATACCTTTGCCCAGACTGAAAGTTCAAAAATGTACCGTGTACTCACCTAAGTTCTCCAAATTTTACAATCCGTGTCTCAAGGGCACCAATTGGCTCAGAGGTAAATTTATCAGGACGTGGTCCTGGCTGTAAGGCATTGCTGGTTTTACTATGCAGTAATGGTAAGAGACTCAAATCAGCATCATTTTTAAGCCTTCAATTCTAAACCTCCTTTTGTTGGAAACCGCTCGGTGTATTTTGTACAAAGTCTTAGAAAAGTACAATCACGTTAATACAGAAAGCATTCAAAAATTAGGTGAGAACCACTTTAGAGGATTAAAAACCTTTTAGGGTATATACAGTTTATATGAAATACAAAACCCCAGTAAACTTGAGCAGACATGGGGTGGAAACTCTGATTAAACTCTTTATAGGTTAGAATTTGCTACAATTTTCTGGCTGTTTTCCCCCATCTTCTCAAAAATGATATGTGTTGGTATGGTATGCAAGTACACCAAGATCTCTTCTGAAATGGCAATCCTCAAAGTGCTGCAGAAGCTAACTGTTAGTGCTGCTGCTTCCTCATTCCATTCCCGCTTCCAACATCCCCACTAAGTTCTTGAAATCCTAAGAATTATAACTATCCCTGTTTTATATTAATGGCACTTACTGTGAAAATGCACAGTTCAGGCAGACACATATAGAAAGATTTGAGTTTCTTCATATAGTTTAGGAACCAGTATCAAGACAGCAAACTCTGATTTTCAGAGATTTAAGAGGAGAGTTTAAAAAAAAACCTTTAGAACAAATAAAATGAAGCAGTTCTAGATAAACCTGGCTTTTTCAGACATCTTCTTGATTTTTGACTGATAGATCCTATTTCATTAATCAGTTATGGTATACCCAGTCATATCCTTCCATCTCTGTGTTCAAGTGTGATTGCACTCTACAAAGGATACAATTCTGAGCAATATAGTCATAGCCAATATCCTCAGCGATAACTAGCTTCTGATCTAACTTTTGGAAACCTTCTCTCAATTCAAACCTTTCAGCCATTTCATCATCTCAATCTTGCATCTTTAACACTGCAGATTTTAAAATCTCATCAAGTCACAGCAGAGAATAAGCATGTTGTACTTTAAAAAACAAAACATTTTCCTCTCAACCTAAGTAAATGGATTACAGTGGTATATTAAATCCAAGTTTTAAAAAAATCCAGATGTTCCTAAAAGAGTCTACTGTTTGGAAGGAAATGGAGCCGCTCCAAATGGATCTAACTCTACTGCCTGTTGCTGCTGGCTCTGTGAAGACATCACACTTGGCACAAGTTCGGTGAAAGGAACTGCTCCGAAATCATCTGTTAATTTTACACCATCGCTAGCATGAATGCTGCCAAGGAATGAACTCTGTCTAGGTCTACCAGGCACCGCTGTGTTATGATCCCCACGATTATCACCCAGTCCTTGGTGCTGGGGGAGACGCAGCAATTCTGCGGGATGGAAAGGCTTGGCTCCAAAGGGGTCCAGGAGACTATCATCGGCCTGCAGAGGATTGACTCTGTCCTTGCTATCTGTCAGGGCAATACTTATGTTTTCCTTAGAATCAGAAATTGTCAGAAACTCATTGCTGCTTTGGGAGTCTCGTCGGCCAGCTTTTTTATGCCTCCGGGCTCTCTCGGGTGTACGGTAACTAGGCTTCAAAGTCTTCTTTGTGTTTGTGGGTGTTCCGTGATGGCGCTTGCCATTGCTCTTGGACCCTTCCTGCTTCATGCGCCTCTGACGGGAAGAGAGTTTCTGCAGATTCCGTTGCTGCTGTTTCACTTTTTGCTGCTGCTGGTTCCCTGCTATCTCCTCAAATGGGATGAGTCCAAACAGATCCTCTTTACTTTCATTATGCCTTTGGGTGGAAACAGGCTGGAATGGGATACAGCCAAAAACGTCCACGCTTTTGGGGGATAGGGGAGAAGTTTGAGTTTCAGAACCTGAAATCAAATCATCTGGTTGAGATATTCTTCTGCTGAATGGGGCTTTGGTAAAGACATCAAAGTCATCCTGATCTTGCTCAGAATGGGTAACCTGGGGAGAAGTATCTTTTTGTTCTTGAGGCTGCAAAACAAAGAATGGAACTGCTCCAAAGACATCAAATTCTTGTTTGGGGCTCAAATTGGAACCTGCACCTGGGAACTCAGTCAATGAAGGACATGGTACCACAGTCTCTCTACCTTCTATACAGCCAGTCCCTTCTCTGTATCTATTGCAAGGTACCTCTTCTACAGGCCTAAAATGACTAGAATCAGAGTCAGAACTTTGTTTATCATCATCTTCTACATCTTCTTCAGAATCCATGAGAAGGGGGTGCTGGCCTAAGTTTTCTGGTTCTGTATCATTGTCATCAATAAAGTCTCCAGACTCACCCTGCAAGACTTCTTCATCCTCTTGTTCTTCTTCTTCCTCACTACTCTTTGGAGAAGGGGGATCTGATTCAAAATCACTCTCCGATTCATCATTTCCTTTTTTAATATGTGCTTCTGTGACCTTCTTTCCAGCATCCTGGTCCTTAACAACCTGGCTTGACCTTTCATACTTAGAAAGACTCTCTAACGTGTTTTCTAGATTGCTGGCTGTGTTATTAATTTCATTTCCTGGGGAGCCTGCAAGGATGAAGAACAGGCAGAACTTCAATTTCACATCACTGTTTTGCACTTCCAAAAACACATATACTTATTTCTTTTTCATTATATAGTGGGGCAAGCTATGATAGACTCACAAAAGATAGGCATTAGAATCTTAATCTTCAGCTTACAGCCAGAAAAGGTGTATCTGAGTATTAGTACATTCACTCTAAATGGCAACAATTCTGCCAAATCTTCAGCAGATGTCTTCCCACAAGTAATTATTTTGCATCCTTTGAGTAGACATAGAGGCTTCAGCATGCAGGTCAGCACATTCTTTACCTTCCTGTCTACATAATTTCTACTGTTTTGAGAAGAAATGTACTATAGTACTTAACGATGTTTGTAACACCATTCATGATCAGATGTTTATTTAGAAGTGTTTCTACCTAATTACTGAATGACTTTTCCAGTTTGGATTGTCCCACATCCCAGCACCACTTATTTTCACACACTGGAGCTAAACAGTCCCAAGCTTATATTTACTTGATATAGTTCACCCTCTACAAGTCCTTTTGACTTTTCCATACTCTTTTCTGTTCTAGAAACACACTTGTTTTGAGCTAATTAGGGGGAAGCCTGCATGCAGTATTCCAGCAGTGCAGCCCTGTAACTGTTTATTAAGAATTCCCATGGTGGTCCATAGGATTTAATACCTAGCAAACATGTTTCAGATTTCCCCTAAATCTTTACACAATAAAATATATCAATTAACTCCTACTAAAAACTATTTAATATTTTATTTGTCCTCTTAAGATTCCCACAGAGTATACTAGGCTGGTATTTTCACTTGAGTCAACTATGATTCTTTCCTACGGCATTAGTAGCCAATTTAGCTTTTATCAGTTTACACGTGAAACTAACATTATCTGTCCCAACATGCATCAAATGACACTTTCTGTCTCATCTCACCCACCAAAGAGTTATTTAGGAGAAATCATTTCCTTACAATGTGGAAAACTGTATCTTTGTACTTCCCAGTTATTAGTTTCATAACATAATGGACCTTTGGATTAATTGCTGTGATTGCTTTTTGAGTCTGAAGAGTTACAGAGTAGTGCACTTGGGCCTATCCACTGACCAAGTCTATAACCAGCCTTCGTCAAGGACACTGCAGCTAGGGAGACACCAGGCACCCATTCTTCCTTTTTCCTTCTGTAATATATCCATTCGATTATAACTCTTTGAGACAAGGCCTGTCTTATCTTTCACTCTCTGCACAACACTTATAAGAATTTGTCAGATACTTTTTCAAATCTAAAACTCTATTGTACCATAGAAATATTAAACATATATAGTACATGTTTATCCCTTAGCTGCTGTCTTTGATGTAGTTATAGCCTGCCTTAGTCATGTCTGTAAATCATTGATCAATTATCAATTACCAATGCAGATCATTCCAACCATTCCTTCCAGCCCACAAACAGTAAAAAATAGTACTTATATTCATTTTTTATTCTTCTACCCTCCCATTTCTTTTTCTTTCTTTTTTTTTGTATTGCATATTTTGTAAACCTGGCAATTATTTATCTTTGTAATCCACTATGAGGGGAACCTTCTAAGACAAAAGAGCAAGGAAAAAACCCTAGCAATAAAATATTGTTCATAAAATATTCAAGAGAGAGATTACAGTTTCCTCCACCCAGTAATTGGTCAACAGAATGTGTTTTTTAATCAAAGGTGGTTCAGAAAGCAAGCACATTTCTGCCAGTTTTCCTTTCTGCTAAGATTGTTCTGCTTTACATTAAAAGAAAAAAATCTACCTTACAACATTCCAGCTATTTTATCTGAAGCAAACTTAGTTTCTTTCATCTCCCTGACATGCACTAAGACATTTATTGACAACAAATTAATACTAAAGTATTTTACCTCAAAATGTTGCTCTTTCGCTAATATCCAAAACTCAGGAAATGATCAACAGAAACAGGGGGGAAGAAATCAGGGCATACAGCCATAGTAATAACCCAATCCTACAAATTTGGTCATAAAAATAATTCAGAAAAAAAACACCCATTTTTAAAAACTAGAAAAAAATAACTGTTTTCAAGTGTAACACTAATACTAGGTTGTGCTAAATTTAATATATTGGATTTTATAGTCAAATTAATATGTAGATTTGCTTTCTTGATGTGATGTAGTTTTCCCAAAGTAACAGTCATAATAAAGAATTTGTAGAAATCCATTTCAACATATCCATATATGACAGAATTACTTACAGAAATGATTATTCTTTCAAAGTAAAAGCTTATTCTTTTCAAATGAGCATAATTATTTTTGTTTAAACACCAACTTTAAAACTGTTGGCAATAGGAGCATACTTCTACATCCATAAATGGAAACAGCTAAGTGCATATGTGTAAATGCTTATTTTAGAAGATGACGTTCTTTCCCTTTATATCAGGAAGATAATTTGTAACATGTAAAATTTTCTTGGTTGAGATAACATATAAATCAAGTAACTCATAAATTACTCCAAAACTACTTCTCTGTCTTGAGTATTCAGTTCACAAGAAAAAGCAGAGTAAGTCCAACTGAGTCCAAATATTAATTCAACAGTACTTTTAGCATAATGTTTTTAAATATATGCACACAAGAGATACTAAACCTACATCCTAACCCAATTCAACTTCCTATGTTAAAAAAAAAAAAACATTTAATATTATTACATTTATCAGAAGCCCAAGAGAGGGAAATTTTAAATTCACTTTTAAATTAATGCCATAATAATGTTGTAATACACAACATGTAGAAAAAGATTTGATTGAAGTAATCTCAAAACTGCTCCAATGGACATTTCAAATCTGAATTTATGAACAGCTAAGAACTGTGCAGCATAACATCTGTTCACAAGAAAATGTTCAGATTATATCACTTCTAATCAGGTTTGCCTCTTGTACAAGGCTGTAATTCTGCCCTCAAATCTGGTGCAGGTAGAACATCTTTAATCATAAGATCCCAATCTTCAAGAGAAAATTCTGTTCCTATGTTCGTTTTCTAGACATCCGATTATAAGAGGATGAATGGCTTGTAACAACTGGAGTAATTACATGCCTTCTGTTAGTTCATCATTTCAGAAACTGGGAGAAATCAAGGGCATAACCAAAGCACCTTCTGAATTGGTAACATACTGCCATCATCGTTCCACAGCAATCTGTCACATGTTAGTTCAAGGACTGCTGAGATGTCAACTAAATCTGCGGTATTCTTCAACAATAGACAGAAACGCAGATGTTGAATGCTGTCACAGATTTGATGGTGGCTTACTGTTCTTAACTTAAGGGAGAGACGAACTGCATTTCCTTCATCTCATACATCCACTTTCTTTATACTTGTTGCAATATTTATACTATGGAATCTTGAATTCTCAGTTCTCAATCTCAATAATTGTTTATCATCAGGGATATATAATTTGAGAAAGGTACTTCTCTTTCAAACAGTAATGAGTCCAGGGAATGGACTTCAAATGGCAAAACTATGTATTAGGCACACATATTTATTTCAAGCATTTCAAAGCTGCCTTCAAAGGAAAAATCCCTCTCCGGGTGAACTCTATATAAAAGAATAAACAACAACCCCAACGTTATGTATAAGAGCCTTTGGCTTATCTCATACTATAAATGCTCTCTAGTTGGCATTTGATTACAGGTAGTCCCCAGGTTAAGAACTCCCAGTTTAAGGACGACCCATACTTAAGAACAGAGCCTACTGTACCAAAATTTGAGTTAAAAACAAAATGATTCCAGTTAAATACACAATGGTTCGAGTTCCTTACACAATACTACTTATACAGTATTATACTGTTCCAGCTTCCATACAATTCGACTGAAGGACAGACCTTGGGAACAGAACTTGTTCTTAAACTGGAGACTGCCTGTATACTTGACCTACTCCTCACTAATTTCTAAATGGCTCATAAAGGTAAATATTACTAGCTAAGCATTATTCTAAACTAAATTATGGGACAGGTTGCACAAATTCAGAGGCCTGAAGTCCAATTTCAAACTGGGAAGAGAGGCTTTGTTAGACACATTCCCTAATCATTAACTTTTTAAAAAGAAAACAGCAAGCTTTTTTCAGTTTTCTCAGTGCTTGGTAGTAATGTTCAGGAATGAAAAAAAAATGATTGTTTGGCAGAGGAAGTAGATTCTGGCCTATATTATATTTTGCTGATTAATGGACTCCCTTCCTTTGAAACCCAGCTGTCCATGTAAGAGATTTAAAGTCCTTTCTGGGATGTTTCAGTTACACACAGTATTCAACAGGCATTACATCTTGTTGTTCTAAAAATTTAGATAATGTTTGGATTTGCAAGCTTACTGTGAGGACATATAGGCTTCAGTCACAGTTAATAAGTCCCATATTTTAAATATAGATTTATAGAAAGTAATCAAGTCAATTAATATTTGGAAGAAGTGTTTGTGATATTATCTATAAGGTTGCACAAATTTCCATATAGTATAAACACTGATAGAAACGCCTGTTGGTGTTTGTGAATGAAGAAAGCTATCCTTTGTTCAACTTGTCCTAGTCTGCTTATGCAAATTCCCTGCTTCTATGCTTGTTTTTCTACACAAAACAAGGAAAATAGGTTCTGCCACTTTCTTCAACCTCCAGTCTTACAGCAAGAGGGCAGCATCTCCCCACTCACAAGAGAAGCCATGGGAAAAACATGCCTGAAAGCATCAGTAGGAATGTCTCACATTTTGGCTATCCTTCCTGTGCATTAATCGGATGTATTTATGTGACTTCTCCAAGAACTCAGCTCTACCAGTTTGTTCTCAGTCCTAGCTATTCCCTCAAACTGTAGAAGAGGGAAAAATGAAAGCCAGGTTACTTTATTAGGTATGCTGACATTGTTTTGTTTGGCTCCTCCTTTATTCCTATTCAGTTGATCTGTAAGAACTATGTAATTTTAAGAATTGCCTTAAAATGTGTAAAATTTATTTTATAACTTGAATCTTTTCTTTTTGCACTGTGATTTTTAGATTTATTTTTTTTCTTTTCTCTTTGCTTTTATTCTTTTCTCATAAAGAGGAGTAAAAATATTCAAGAAATAGTACAAGTAGCCCTTGTTTTGTGACCACAATTGGGACCGGCAACTCAGTCTTTAAGCGAAGCAATCATTAAGTGAAACTGCAACAGTATTTATGATCTTACTTCAACTTTCCTTTGCTTTACACACCTGTGAAGGTCATAAATGTGAGGATTGGTCGCAAAGTTACTTTTTCATCATCATCATAACTCTGAACAGTCGCTAAACAAGGCAGTCGCTAAACGAGGACTACTTGTAATCCTGCTTTATGCATGATAAAGTAACAAATTCAAGTTTCAATATATTATCAAACTGATATTAATTTAGAAACTGATTAGCATACAAAGGAACAAGCAAAACTGTTTTGTTTGGGTTTGTTTTGTTGGAGTGTAGTTAATTACACAAGAAATATAATTTTGTTATATTATTTATTCAGATACCATGTTTGAGACTTTCTTTTTACCTGGGGAATCTACAACAATGCATTGTTGAACCTTTGCGACTGAACAAGGTACTGAAGAGATCCTGGGAGACTTTATCAGCTGCCTCCCAAGATGTTACCTCAGAGAAAACAAGGGTGCAATTAAATGGGCAGAGAACGCACAACTGTTGGGAGCTTGCTTAACCTTGGAGTGAAAAGTCAGTACATTTTGATCTTTGCTACCATGGTTACTGGGTCACTTACAACTTCTCCATCAGTGGAGCCCATCTGGATATAAATGCTTGTTTACACCTCATGCTGACCTACCTTATTTCCCCATTTCCCTTTCTTTTTGTATTCTTTTGCCTAAGAGCAAGGCCAGACCTGCTTTGGGATGTGAGCAGTTTGGGGGCGGCAATAAAAATAGTTGCACTATTGGAACCTCAGCACCCCATCCCAACAGCTCCCAACATTTGTCCATTTCTTTTGCAGTGAAATCTGGATATTAGAGCTCCAATATATGTGCAAAATTTAGATTTATTTAAATCAGGAAAGATGCTTGAAATAATAAGCTACAGAATCAGTAGCATGCCTCCTGAATGTGTATGTCAGTACACTGTATTTTTCTCTCAGAGGGATATGGGCAACCTAATGTTGACTTGCAAAGTAGTTTCTAGATTAAAGAATTCTAGCTCACACTGCCTAACAGGAGCATGATTTGGGTGAAACTAGACTTTGGTTGAGGTTGTGGCATTCTTACTGAAATGTGCCCAAACTTACCAGTATTGTATCCTAACTAGTAGCAGGGAATGCTGCATGTGGCATGGGTATGACTAAAGGCTGATAAACTGGTCTACACTTTCTCTCTGTTAGGATTCAACTGACCAAACCATTATGGACAGCAGAGGTCAATATCTATAGACCATCTGATATTGTCCCTATTATATGAAAGACTGCAATGTGGTATGTAAGAAAAAATATGACAAAAAGCATGAATTAAGAAATGAAATAAAATAAGCATGTTATGTGCGTCTGAAACTGAAAGAAAGAGGCAAGATGTAATAGATCTGAGTGAAGGTGGTCTCATCTTGTGGGGTTGATTAACACTGCAGGGAATTGAAGGGATAGGTTTAATTATGAATTAAAGGACTAACATGTGTATCAGCAAATATGAAAGTATTGCGGATGCATAGAAACACAGGAAACCATATGGTGGTGATCATTGTATGTTATGTTCCAGTGGTGATAATCGAAGAATCAAATATGAGTACTGCAACACTCTGAATGAATGTGATCTGGGGAAAAAATATTCTACTTGTGATACTGATGGGTGGCAACAAACAGAATGAATGAGAATGAGGACTATTAGGTGAGTATCTGCTTAGAAAAACATGTTTCAAACATGTGATTTAAATATGAGTCTATTCAAACATACACATGACAAAGAAATGAACATATATAAAGTTTATGGTGAAAAGTTAAAAAAATTATTGAAAGATACCAGGCGATGAAATTCTGAATAGGGGCTAGATCATTTTTTCATAGTATCAAAATGACTCTTAAAAATGGACATGAAAGAAAAGAAACAAGAACGAAAAGAGAGTAATTGCAGGAAGAGAAAGTGCATGTACTATACATATGGGAAGAATAGTGATATATCAAAGAGTACAACTGAAATAAAAACTGCAACATTACAAGAAAAAATGGATGAAAATAAAGTCATACAGTGAGAACGTAAAAAACCGGTAAGCTTGCAGATGCTAGTAGCGTAACTGGAGAAATGTTAAAACAGATGTGATTTGCTTATGGAATTGCTAGGCAATTTGTTTATCATGTGTGAAGGCTGCATTTGTCTCTAACGATTGAGGGAATGCTATTAGTTTTCCTATATAAAGGGGAAAAAGCAAAAGTGAATGCAGTGCTTGAGAAGGTGTTTGGCAGAATCCTGATGGTAAGTTTACAAGAGGTGACAACAAGCAAAATTTGGTAAGCTCAATGTAGCTTTACAACAGGCAGTAGCTGTGCAAATCAGATTTTTGCTGTTCAGTAGCTAACTGGGAAAAGTATGAGTTATAGAAATCAGAAAGTTTAAGATATATATGCTGATTTGGAGAAAATATATGATAAAGGTATTACACTTGAATTATATAATGTTTTTACATGAGTATGAAACTGAAGTTTGGTTGCTGCATATAACAGAAATATATGCTGAAAGCCTGTATGAAATGCTTAGGAAATTATTCAAAATTGAACAGAGATTTTTAAGACAAAGTTCTCTGATATCCCTTTGGTTTGCTTATTTGTTAATACATGTATGCAGAATGCTTGCAATGACAGTAATGATAACTGGATTGTGGATATGAATTTAGTGCAGGCAATGCCATATTGTTGGCTGAGTACCTAAGTGATTTCAGTGAATATTTGACAGGATGTATGATGGAACCAGGATATAGAACTGAAAATTAATGTATCAAAAACTAGGGTAGCTGTGTTTGACAAGGAAAATGGAATGAACTATTGCAGGTTAAATATAAATGGCAAAAGCTTAGAGCAAGTAATTGAATTTGAATACCTTGGCAGAATGTCTATTAATAATGGAAAAGGGATAGAGAAATTTTAAGATGTGCAGATGATGGTAGAAAGGTAGTGGATAGTATGCGATCTGTTGCGAGGAAAGATTGTCAAAAGAAACAAAAATTGTTATATGGAAGTGAGAGTTGGAGAAACATTAGCAATGAATAAAATGGGGATTCTTTATTTGCACTTCTTAAGTACAATACACTGTAAAACAAGAAGAGATAGGATCAAGAATGAATGGGTGCTGAATGAATGTGGATTGAAGTGAGAGACCAGTATGAAAGCAGTATATTGACGTGGTTTTGTCATATCATGGGAACGAACAAGGATTGAATTGCAAAGCAAATACAGAGAAGAGTGAATGGGCCCAGAAGAAAGGGAAGATAAGCGAAGTTGTGGTTGAATGGAATTAATGATATCCCCCAAAAGAAAGAGGTGAGAAGTTTAAAGAACAAAAGGATGTATGAAGCAATACATGGATGGTGGAAATAAGGAAGATTTGCAGGCCTAGAAAGGCACAGAGAACTCCAGTGAATGTTAGTAGTTATTTCCTTTTTTAATCTTGTATCTTTAACTTCCTTAGCTTACTATTTCCTACTCCCTTTAGGCATTTTGCATAATGTTGTTTACCCCAAAAAAGGAACAGCATAATGTTATCTATGTATAAATTATTGGAGAAGCATAATTTTTCTGTCCCATTAAAATTAGTTTGGCAACTATACAACTCTGGAGGTCTTCCATACTCAACACTTTCAGGATACATAGGTTTGGCATTTCTGATAAAGAATCTCTATTATTTCATAATTTTATGACAAGCACGTTTAAGAAGTAGCAAAAAAAAAAAGTCTACCGAGGATGCTCAGAAAGAAAGCAGTGGGAGTAATCTATTTGGTTCTCTGATCGATTGTAGGGAAGAACCTATACTGTTGAACCAGTCCCACTTCTTTTCTATCAAGATATATTTACACGAAAACAAGTTACGTTACACTATGTGACTTGCCTGCACGAGAAATGAAAGGTACAGAACCAAAGAGATCTTCTGGAGGATGGGTCAGTGGAGCAGAATGTGACTCCACCTGTTTATCTAAGGAAGTTCTCCTCTCCACGAGCCTATCTGCAAAAATAAAAGCAAAACAAAACAAAACAAAAGTAAAACAAAAATGGCAACTTTTAACCCAGTTAAAGATATATTTAATAAAATCTCTTCTTACTCATGGATATAATATCCAAGCATTCTTCCTGCAGTCCTTCTGAGGTTAAGTTGCAGAAGTGTATAGGACAGAAAGAAAAAAACAGAAGACCTTAATTTTAACCCAAACATTCAGCTGAACTAGGGAGCAAGTGTAAAATTGCTTCCAAAAATTTCTAGAATTTAACAGATATCCAAGCCAAGGAGACCTCACAAGGATGCAACAGCCACAGGAGAACGTGCATTAATAAAAAGGTACAGAAATTAAAGTAATCAAAATAATCATAGTTTAATTTCTGAGTTTTTTTCTGATAAGGATTACTTCTAGGTCTGGGTCAAACACTTTAAAGACTAGGTTCTACATGAAAAGACACTGTTGTATTTCATACTAGTTCAGAATTCTGTAGTGTTCCAGGTTTCAGTAATTTAAAAACAATGGCTTAACCCTTTCATCATTCTGCTGGAGAACTACTCTCTGTTCTAGTGATGCATAAGAAACTCCTGCCGAAATTAAATTTAAAGCACATACAAACTGCATGCTTACAGCAGCTGTTTAGCTTATGGAAAAGGCTAGGCAATGTATCATATAGGAAGGCTCCATTTCATCACATCTACTTCTCCAACTTTTTCAGAAATCTATATAGTTTTTGACATAAGGCATTCTTGACAATTCAGTACTGTTCTGCTCCATTTAAGATATTCTTTTGTGTAAAGGTGCCAAGAACAGGATATTCCACTCTGCTTCCCAAAAGCCATTCCTGAGGCTTAACTCCAGCATGTGCAAGCTCCCTCTGCCCAAATTTATACCAGATTCCCTTTCTTGCTACAGCCTGCCCTTCTCTCAAAGTGCAGAAATTATTTTTCAGAAGAGCCCAAATGTGAGAATTTCTTTCCTATTTAGATCCGAGCCATTAGCTGGATTCAGATCATCTCTTCTACAAACCAAAGAGATCCATTTCTTCCTGAAACAACTGAAAACTAACAAAGGATTCTCCTGTGGGATGGCAGTTTTCTCTGTATGCTACCTTCTAAAGCCCAACTTTTCAAACAGCAAAGGAGTAATTCCTTTTTTTATCTAACAGGATCCCTTTTATGAATGAAATTTCGCTGAAGAGTACACTGGACTCAATCCATTGTCTTTAGAATTAATTTATAACTTTCCATATAAAAATTCATCAAAGAACACAACTGTATCAGCTTTTAAAACAACTTAATATAATATAGTTCTTCTTTGGTAAATGTCCCAACTGCTCAGAGCCAACAAGCCTGTACAAGAATCAATCAAAGAAAAAAATAAAAAATATTCTGAGAATCAATAGCATATAGTGATGAAGAAAGCAGAAGACAATTATAATTATAATACATTGTAAAGAATAATACAAAATTTAACTTTCAAACTTTAATCACACCAGTTGAATGTTCCTCATGCAAGACTTTATTTCAGTTTATACCTAAGCCAAGTTTTGGAAAAGTGAATTATACTTAAACGTCCTTTGGTATTATTTTTCCTTTTCTACAAGAAAGGAAACTGTAAAAGAATGGCATATTCAAAAAGTTTATGTTCAGTACAGAAATGTTTCTCTGCTACATACAGATTTTAAAAACTTAACAGTATAGTAACTAAATCATGACTATTATCTTTTGTTCAGGACTACACAATGCAAGAATGGATAATCAAAACATTCAACCAGGTTGTTTATTCTGCATCTTTAATTGAATCTACTACTAATTATACAGAAGTAATTTTAGAGACCTTTGCATTACAATGCCACAGGAAAAATATTTGAATTTTATCTTAGTAGATGTATTTCAGGTATGGGTACAAAAAGTGAGTTTGGAAGACACTGACAAAGTTCTCATGATTAAAAAAAAAATGTTATGATTATATATTTCAACCCTACAACTATGGGAAACTTCAGATCCTTATACTGGCCTCAGTCCAAAATTTTTCAAGTAGTAATTCAGTTGACTTGTTTATCAAAATGGAATAAATTGCATTCATTTTCTTCAGCCACTTAGACAATTAAATCTAAAGAAAAAAAAAAGAAATTTGGAAGAAAAAACTTAGGTTTAACCGTACTACTGACAATATTAATTATTATGTTTGTTATCAGTTCTCCCCTTTTACACATATTCATTATTTTACTTTGGAGATTGCTGTGACCGTACAAAGTATAACAAGAATACTGTAAATCTATTGGGTCTATTTTAAATCCCATTCTTGCTTCAGGGTTAGGGTTCAGTTCAGTAATTGTTACTAGCAATACAACTTCCAATATTTATATACTGGTTGAAATATAGTTTTGGGGAATAAACTTCAGTTAATATAAATAGCTAGGACTTGGAAAGTAATTCTAGATATAACTGTGGTTTCAGAAGCAAGAAACTTTGTCAAATCCTGTCTACTCCTCTTTATTAACTAAATCCCTATTACACATTTATCACATATTTCTTCAAGAGTGATTAAATCCTTTATTAGAAATACTGGATTTTTATTGCATGCTTTTCATGTAAGCAGCTCCAAAACAGATACCAAAATGTCTAAGTGTCTCATGCTATGAAAAGAACATTCCAGTACATAACGAAAAGCATTTGAGAAGATGTGAAGCATTTCTTCAGGAAAGAGGGAAAGCAAATGCTTTATCATGACTCCTTCAAAGGAAAGCATTCTGAAAATTTACACAATAAATACATTCCAAATAAACTGCAGAACAGTGCAAAACTATGAATTATAAAACTACTGCCTTCAATTTTATACATAGGTTTTTAATAAATTACTAAATGTTTAAAGCTTTCTCTTTGACCATCTTGTTATTTTGTAAAACATTAAAATTTCCCTTTAAATCTACAAGATGTTAAACATTTGAAAAATTAGCCATAAAAACACAAAGAAATAAGATCCTACTATGGTTGATCCTCATGTGAGTATTCTATCATATGAAGTTATCCTCTGAAACAATTTATCAAGTTGTTTAAACAATAAAGCTTTACTTCTTGGGATTTTATAATATAACTTTGTGGAAGGTGAATACATATTATAACTTATTCATTTTTAATCAAGTAATTGGTAAACCAAATAAAGCTGGACATTCATTTAATACTGGCATCTATCAAAAGTCCCATAACAGTTTTTCTTTAGCATACCTGAATTTAGTTACATGTGTCAAGTATACAGCAATACAGTAGGTTTTATATTTTAACAAAATGCCAAATAGAGAATAAAATAAGACAGTTGGCGTTATGAATTAAACTTATTAACAGTTAAGGATTCAGTTTCACTATAATCTTTCAGGAATCAGCCCATCAAGTTACTAATATGTCTATCAAAACTACAGCTCACAGGGCAGTTGTTTCAATGACAACCAATGGCATTATCAATTATTTTAACCACATACAAAAGCCCAGATTTAACCTTTTTACTTCATATGTGAAGGAGAGAGCATCACTTCAACACTGCAACAAATTCTGGGACAGTATGCCTAAATTGGACTACGAGCCTTTCAGAACAGTGACTTTCAAATTAAAACAGCAAGATCATTAGTTTCATCACCTATATCTAGTTAGCTGAGATTTGTCTTTTACCAAGTTTAGAACCTATGTCCTTTCCCAGCATCTTGCACCTTCTCCACAATTCATCTCCATGAAAGTTATATATGAGCAACATAAGCAAAAGTAAGGGGAAGCAATTTCAAGTAAACACACTGGCTTTTTGACTTGAAGACAGTTTATTCAACTATTGTTATTTCAGAACAATAAAGCAGCCTTTAACATTAAGCTACTCAAAATACATTACAAACATTAACATAATGTACTGGGTCATTTTCCCTCTTTCAGGCACTTTCAAAAGGCATTTCAGACCCACAGAATCTCCTCTTCTGGTGTGCAAAAGAACAAAATTGCAAAGTGAAGCAATGCACACTGCTGACTGGTATTCTGCAGGGTTACACAAACTTTTTTTTTTGCTTTGCATTTAACACTCAAGTAATTATTCAAGAGATGACCCTGACATTTTCTGTGGTTTTACAAAATGTTAAATTATTTCTATTGCACACATTTTTGTGACAGAAGGACAAGTCACACAGCAGGCCTAGTTTGCCCTCAAATGCTCAGAAAGAGTTCTCTCTACAACAGACTGTGGCCCTTGAACAAAACAGTCTCCAGCACTGTCAGTTGTACCTAAAGAGCTTTTACTTATTGTGAAGCGAAATAAGCCTTCAAGCGTCCCTTACTTGATCTCAGAAGGTCAAACTCCCTGTCCAACAGCTCCTCCTCTGTTAGGTTGGAGAAATTGTCTTCTCCGAATGGGTTCCACCCAGACATATCAGGGGGATTGCTGATGTTTTGTTTTGGATAGCTGGAAACAGACTCTGTGTCAGAGGAAGATGATCTGTAGGAATCGATTGAGAACATGACTTAAGTACTCTTAATATTACTTTAATTCACATTAAATAAAATAGAACATGCCCCTGGTGAATATGTAGAAGTATGAGAAAATATTTTATTCTAGAATAAATCAACATACCCCATAAAAATGGAGTGATATCCTATAAACAACATGGAGAAGATACAACCATAAAAGCATGCCTACATAGTTACTAATAACATGAGGTGAGGATGCTTGCCTGTTTGTGGAATAAGGAGCATCCAGAGCTGCACCAACATGAGCTGGAAAGGATTTAGAATGAGAGATTAAGGCTGGTGAAAACTCCTGAGGAGAGGCAAGAAATTCAGGAGAACGTTTCGGTGGTGGCAACTGATTCCCAAGGACCTGTTGCTGCAGAAGAGCTTGTTGGTACTGCTGCATCTCAAAGGAGAAGGAGAAAAATGTCAGAACTGCAAAACTACACCTATATAAACCTTAATCTCACCTTGTACAGAAACTGAACATCTTAATTGAACCAAAGCAAAAACACAAATATCTGGATCCTATACTGGCATTAAGCATTAAAATAAACAAGCAATTAAAATAGGTTAGATGGGAGGGAAAATGATCAGTTAATTAATAATTACTTAATTAACATGATTGAATTATGCCATCTATCCATCTGTTTATGATGAACATAAAATGATGTAGCAGGATATTCTTAGGAGGAAAAATCTTCACCAAAAACTTACAATACTGAACAAAATTGTTATATTCTTCATGTTTAATCTATTTACTGCAGAACAGAAAGTATACTTTTGAAAAACAAATTACTATATTGTGGACAAATTAAGATAATAACAGCCATACTGAATCCTATTTAATTCAACACTCCAAACTAGCCCCCTCATATCTAGTATTCTGTTCCCACAATAACTAAGCAGATGTCTTTGGGATGCTCCCCAAAATATGAATAAAATAGAAACCTTCCACTTGTGTTTTTTCAACAAATAGCATGTAAAGACATTGTCTTCAATACTGGAGATAATGTATTGCAATCATTACTGATAGCCACTGATAGTATTTTTCTCTTATGTAAAGAAAAAAAAAACTGAAATAAAAATCTGAATACTAAATACTATTTACTGTTTTTCAGGAAGGGAAGTTTTACTTCTATAATTAGTTATTGTGGGAATTAAAGAATATGGAAGTAGTTGAAAACTGAAGAAGGCATGTCATTTTCTTCATAGATATTCACGGTTTTATAAGCCAAGATAAAAATGAAGATACTAGGTGAGGATGCATTAACTAATCAGTCATTTTAGGATGAGGCTCCAGTAAGAGCCACCAAATTTATGTATTCTGGGTTCCATTTATTTACTTAATACTGTTAAATTCACTCTCAGCTCATTGGTTTGCTATAGTAAACAAGGAATGGTTCTGCAAGATATTTGTTAAGTAAAACCCAGTAAATTAGATGAAATTAACTGGTACAAAACTAGTATTTTACAGTCCAAGCTTCCCTTTCTTATCTAGGAGGGTTTTATTTGGTTTCCCAAAGTAATTTACCATAGCAGGATACGGAGAGGGGGGTGGTTGCTGCTGGTACACAGAGCGTATCAAAAGCTGCTGTTGCACGGCATGCTGATACTGTAATTGAAAAAGAAAATATTTGCATAAAACACAAATGCTGCTCGGTCAAGTGAAATTACACACCAACAAAACTGCTTTTGGCAACTTGAAAAAAAAATTAAGGGGAAGCCACAGAGGGGTTTTCTAATCAGCACTTAATCTTTGTTATGAACAAAACAGACTAAAGGTAAGCCAGTTATTGGGGGGCAGGGGGGGGGTCCTGCTCTGAGTTTCATATCCTCTCTACCCTCTCCCACGTATAATCATGCTAGAAATAGCAAACACAGACACATCCCAAATTCATAGCACTACAAATCAAAGAGCATTCTGCAAAATGGTGAGGAAGACAGGCAGGTTACCATGTTTAGGCTTTAAAGAACATTCGAAGAGGCAAAATAAAAGCTGGATTACATTACAGCTAAATCACAACGGTACCTGCTGCATGTATGAATCATGGAGCAATTGTTGCTGTTGCTGTTGCTGATGTAAATGATGCAACTGCTGTAGCCTCCAGTCCCCTTGCTGTAGTTGCTGCAATACTCTGTTCTGCTGTGGGGTTCCTGGTGATAATACATTCTCTTGACCATTTCCAGCCTTTGAGGCTCCTAGGGCATTTTAAAAGGCACATTAATAAACTTATAAAGTCCGAACATACTGTATGTTTTCCTAATACTCCCACAAACACACACCCCACCTCTACAATAGTTAGGATAGGACTAACAAACCCTTCCTGCTGCATTTCTCCACAGAGTATCTTTCACGCTTTGGTTGGTTGGCTGGCTTGTTTCCCCTTCAGCTAAGCCATGAAAGACACTAACAAAACATCCATATCTTGGGGTGCAGGTACAATTTTCAACTGTTCTATCCTGGTAAATTTTACATTTTAATTAATACCGAATATAAAATATTTCCTGTAAATGTAACCCTGCTGTTGCACACTAAGAAATTCATAAAATTATTTGAAATGTAAATCCCTATGTTTATTTTGGGATCAGTGAATAACTTGCTAGAAGGAATTTTTTAAGTAGATGCGCTGCTTTTTCAAACAATAACATGTTATCACAACTCTCCTTGTGCTGTGCTGAAATCCATTTATGTATAGGAAAGATCCACAATTGTTTGATTCTTATACATTTACAACTGCCAGCATCTTCTAATTCTGACATAATGCAGCACTGATTTTTCCTCATTATTAAAAGATGCTTCTTGCAGCTCACTGCATTAGTTTGAGAAATTACCTTTATGTTCATTGTTAAAATCACCAGGAACTGGCACTTTTACTGGTGTGGCTGAGCTCTGAATAGTAAGTACACTGGAAGTGGCAGTGCTTGTATTGGCCTTTGGTCTCTGACGTGGTGCTATTGAGGTTTCTGTTGGTCCAATGGCATCTGTTATTCTAAAAAAAAAAAAATTAAGAATAAACTTTATTATAATCTTTTTCACTGATGTACAGAATAATATGGTTGGTAAAGGTGTCTAGGAATTTCACAAAGATTACTGAACTGCCAAAAGACAAACAACTCCCCAACACACTGTGTTTCTAGTTTGGGTCTGAAGTAGGCAGTGACATCTCATTTGGACTACCGCAATGTGATAAACATGGGGCTTCCCTTAAAGACTATAGTTGGTCCAGAAGGCACGGGGTGAGTTGTTTTCATCCATGTGACACCTCTACTACACGAACTGCACTGATTGCTAGTTTGCTACTGGGTGCAATTCAAGGTGTGGCTACCACCTATAAAGTCCTGTTTGGCTCAGGGCCTGGATATCTATAGGATCACCTTTTTCCGATCGTCTCTATCCATCTGGTAAGACCCAGCAACATCAGCATGCACTAGGTCCCATTGCCAAAGCCACAATAACTTATGGTTCCACAGAGAGGGCTTCTCTGCAGCCACCCCTACCTGCTGAAAGTGCGTTCCTCCAAAGTCCACACAGGCTCAACCTTGCTGTCCTTTAGGGAAGCCTTGAAGACCTGACTTTTTCAGCAGGTCCTGGGACAAGATTTGTGACCCCACTTTTGATAATCGACTGACTGATGCCTTGTGGATTATCTAATCATTACGCTGTTCTCTAAGATGTGTTCTAAATTATTTATGCCGTCGTTAAGTAAGGATCACAGATTGTTAAGTGAGTCCCAGGTGGCTCGCAAGCAGGCTGGCAGGCAAGGCGCAGCGCAAGGCATGGTACGAGCACAGTGAGGCTGGGAGTGGCGGCTGCTGGGCATGGGAGGGTGTGAGCTTCTTATGACCTTCCCGGCTGGCTTCCCCATTGATTTTGCTTGTGGGAAACCGGCAGGGAAGGTCACAAATGGTGATCACATGACTGTGCAATGCTACAACCTTCCTAAGCGTGAGCTGGTTGCTAAGTGCCCAGATTGCTATCACATGACTGTGGGGTTGTTGGGATTGCCGGAATTTCAAGGACCGGTCGCAAGTACCACTCATTCAGTGCCATCGTAACTTTGAACCATCAGTGAGCCAATAGTCATTAAACAAGAACAACCTGTATTCTAATTTATGGTGTTTAGTTTTGAGTTTGATTGCTATCGATGGTGATATATTTACCTTGCCTTGTTATCCTGTCTGTTCTTAACCCAAGTTAGGGAACTGTATGCTGCTCAGAGCTAGTTTGACTGGAATGTTTTATAAGCCCAGTCAGTAAGTAACTAAATAAATCATCTCTCTCACCCTGCAGGGTGGGAGGTGGAGGCTCTATTCTTCATGTGACTGTGTACAAGGTCACATCTATGTAGCTGGACCAGAGGGACACATTAGGGTTCTGTTACTGTACAGTCCTCGCAGCTGCATAGCAACCTCCCTCCCCAAGCTACTTGATCTTATCACAGAGATACCCAGGCTGTTAGTTCTAGGCAATTTTCTTCTCTTTGGGATCAGAAATGGCTTGGGAATTCATAGCCTCCATGATAAGCAAGGTCCAAGGACATCACTGGTCCAACCCACATAGTTGGCCACACATTAGACCCAGTCTTCAACTCGGGGCAGATGAGATGTGATCTCATAGCCTCTATTCCACAGAGCTGAACAGGGAGATAGACTGGATTGCTCCTGAGCAGCCTCTCCTCACCTACCAAGCCTGGATAGCTCCTTAGTTCTGAGGAGCTCCAGGATGCCTAGAGCAATTCTGTACTGTTAGAAGATGAGGAAAGAGTATGACTGGACACAGGGATGAGCTTAAATACAAGCTTGCTGCTCTGTGATGATAAAGGCAGTGAAGTAGAATTTATTTTCTTCCCTTATTGCATCTACAGAATGTCAGCTAGCTGTATACTAAGTATCATGGCTCTTACTTTAAAGCAAGAGAGAAGAAGTGAGTACAAGTAGTTCTATAAATAAAATCGGACACATTCATGCTGAGTTGGAAGCTTGGTAGCCAGGATTTCATCAAATGATAGAAGAAGAATCTGGTAATGTTGCCTGGAAAGTTCTAAAACCAGTGGATCTCAAAGAAAGGGATAGGGTGGTTTTAGCTCTCTCATTTGTAGATTTGATCTCTACCCCCTCCTGCCAGGTTAAAGTGCCAAGAAAAGGAAAAGGGACTTGGATTCAAGGAACTGTCAATGTCCCTCTGAGAGAGGGGGGAATTCCAGCAGCCTTAAAAGAAGCTGGTCTATCCCACTCTTAAGAGGTCTGCTCTAAATCCATTAATATTGGACATATTTATGAACATTAATATTTCATCTTATTCCCAACTTTCCCATTGGGGAGAAAGTAGTAGAGAAAGTGGTGGAGCAACAAAAAAAATTATGGAAGAAGCATATTAACTAGAACTATGGCAGTCTGGATTCAGGCCAAGATGGAGGGCGCATGGCCACTCACATTCTATTGGATATTTTAGTGGCCTTTGATACTGTCAGCTACAGTATCCTTCAGGGCCACCTGAGAGGACTGGAAGCACTGCACAATGACAACTCTGTTCCTGAGCCGGGGGGGGGGGGGGTCCGCCAATAGTCTGTGGGGAGAAAGGGTGGATTTTTTTGGGGGGTTTTTAGGATGTAGCCTCCCTCCTTC